AATATAATTATCACATATATATTCGCAGAATTTTTTTAACCTTGGGTCATCAGGAACGACTGACATAAAATCTTCAATAAAGCTTTCACTTACTTCTTCTGCATTTAATAATGGCAAACCGAATATCCATTTCAACCACTGTCCAATTTCGCTGTTGGAATTCTTGTATTCAATTGATAAACCTATAATATAGTTAATGTATATAATATATAATATATATATGCAAAAAAAAAAAATTAAAAAAAATATAAGTAATTACCAAAGTTTTGTATATGTCGCCACCAACTTTGAGTCAGATGAAATCTGCATCCAATTATTTTAATTTGAGGCCATACAAATTGTGCTCCTACATGTATAGCTTCTTCAAAGTCAGCAATAAGTGTTGTTGGATTGAAATGTACATTTTTTGATGAGCATTTTTCTACAACACATCTAAATGCACTAGCATAGGTATTTGCACTTTTGTCCGGCAATAAAAAGAACGATAATGGAACATAATGTCCATTTTTAAAAATATGGATAGTAAATAGTTGGTAAAAATATTTAGGGCAACTATAAAATGTACTATCTACAAATATTTTATCACACGAACAAAGTAATTTCAAATTTGAAATTGTAGAGTAAAATAAAATATTATTTGTAGAGTCTACATCGAGTAAAAAATCTTCATTTTCTATTGTTGTAATCTTCCGATTTTTCATTACTTCGATGAATTCAGAAATGGTTTTTGGTAATTTTGGATAAGAAGATCGACGAGACCGGTACAAACATTGATATATATATTATTTACATCAGTACCAGTGAATAATTTAGACTGTTGAGGATATTTTTAGATTTCGTTGTTAATCATTTTTGACGGTCTTTCCAATTCATCTTCACATTTTCTTTTTAATTGATTTGAAAATTTTTTTTTATTTCTAACAGATTCGGGTTCATTTTTGTGATTATGTAATCTCTCATCTTTTACGATCATCTTCATATCACGATCAACATAAATTTTTGCAGTGCACTTTTTATTGACACATTGCCAAATAGGCGTCTAAATATTTTACGTAAGCTTTATTATAAAATTTAAAACTTTTATATAATATTAATTGATTTTTTCTTTCGCTAATAACGATTCCAAAATTCATTTTTAACACGAGGTATCTGGTATATGCACAATGCAAGACGCGAACAAGACTACAACTGTCACTAAATGTTGATTATTTGGACACAAAACATATTGTACAATATTTTCTTTTATTTCTAATAATACCGATGTACCTACGTGTAATAAAATATGTCTCTTTTCGATACAATTTTATAGATTATATTGATTAAGATGTATGAAAACTGACACGATAATATGCGATAGCTATATAAGTATATTATAGAATATGTTAGGAGATTAAGACGTTTCAAAGTTCAAGTTTTATGTTCATGTAATGCTCCAAGATTACGAGTGTTGTTACGAGTGAATTGAAAATGTAATTGTATATTAATTTAAGCCTTTTATATTTTGTACTTAGTATGCCATAATAGTATAAAGTAAGTTTTATTTAAATAAAGCCGGCTGGTAAATAAAAACAATTCAAACATTGTCGTCCATAACGGATAATAATATGTATTAAAATAATAAATTGATATAATTCATAATTAAAATATATAGGTATTGTATATGCCACATGGTATGGTAAAAAAAATGAAAATTAAAGTAATAAAAATATACAATGTCGTCAAAAACGTTTTCCGTATTATGGTATGGCAAAAAAAAAATTAAACAATACAAATATAATATATAAAGTGGTCATTTTTTTAAATAGTGGTTTGAAGCTAATTTTATATAGGTGAATCTATAGATTTTTTTATTTATATAATCGTCATAAATGTTTGCTATATATTTTTTATTTTTTTTTCATAATTTTTATTTTTCGAGTCGATAGCCGGCGGAATCAATATGTAAAAAAGTTCGGCGGAGTTGATACGCAGCGCAATCGATAGATTTTTTACAGGTAAAAAGGTAATTTCGGCGCAATCGATATACGCCCACTGGTGCATGTCCTAAGAAATGGCTAGATAACCTGGCTTTTGTTATAGGTATACACGGGACTCATTGCTATTAGTAAGTGGGTCCTAATTATATTCAGTTTCCCGGTGGGGAAAATGGACCCAGTACGCGCCTGATTGTAGGCCATAGGTTGATTATTATGTATTACTTTTTTACGAGACAGATCAAGTTTTAAAAACTCGTTATCTTCTTTTAGTGTTGTTTTGTAAGAAACAATATTTTTTTCTTGTTTCACATATCTAAGCCATTTCACCTCTCTAAACACAAATTTTTCTCCGATCGTATTGTTTTTTGCCACCTTATATTTTGTTTTAAGTAAATTGTTGAAGTTATAAAAATCATTTTGATTCATGTCTTTTACATAAAATTTATTTTTTCCTGCCAACGAATCATTTCTGTCCAGTTATTAGGATGATTTATAGGAGCTGTTCGGACCAGACCAGATATAGGGCATCATATAATCTAATTATACTCCGGCCCACGAGAGATCAGTACTGCTATTTGACCAAAACTCGTCCGATTTCGCGCATCTCCCACTCAACCAACCACACCGTTTCGGCGACTGTCGGTGTCGGTCGGCAATTATGACGATTGCGGCATTCCGGCACATAGTGGGGATAATTGGGCTAGTCACCGTCGCTGCCGGTCATTCTGCATGCGCGTGACGGTACTGATCTCTCGTGGGCAGGAGTATAGGATTATAGCCGGTTCACGACAAGCATGCGCCGCCGTTGTGCTATCAAAAACCGCCGTTGCGTCGTTTCGTCGTCCGTCGCGAGTCCAACGGTGTCGTTTACCGACCGGCCAGCCGTATCGCGCTATAATATCGTTAAGTATTGAAAACCGTGTGTGTATGTTAATGTCATGTGTTTTTTAATTGTAGTGCCGAGTAGTCTCATTTTTATGACCTTTCGCTCATTGTGATTTGTGACGGCCGTATGAATATCTTGTCGCCCGTCGTGTGGAGTTGATATTTACGGAGTCCGCGTCATTTTCGCCGCATTGTTGTTATACTGTCATGCTCGGCAAATTTGGCATACTGTGCGTTTGTGGCGTCACTATCATGTCCAGTTGCGCTACGCTGTCTTATACGCGCTATTTTTCGCCTCATTTTTATATTATATTGTCACATGCTCGGCGAATATTGGCATACGCGTTATTGAGCAACCGTTGTGACTTGTGACTCCTCTGGGTTTTCCGGTAAGGTCATCGAAGTCACCCGCCGACCGCCGTATAAGGTGGGTAGAATCGTTTTGGCTCATACGTCGCACGGTGCAACTACGCCGCCACTAGGATTGGACCAAGTACAAAAGCGAGGACGACGCAACCAGGTCAGGCGTATCACACATTGATTATTTGTATATTATTTTACGATTGTTGTTGTCAACATCGTTTATATCATAATTTTTGTCGATATCACGTCACGTGATTACTTTATTATTATAAAATCGATGTGATATGACTAACATAATTATTAGGCTCGCTTTTTATTTATTTTATGAATCATTCAAGTGACAGGAGCAATAAACCTTACAGTCCACTATTACCTAGATGTTTTTTTTTTATGAATTTAAAAACTAATTAGATAGCACCCAGCCTAAAGTCGAGTTATCAATCGTGTTCACTTGAACCGAATTTCACGACGAACAGGAGCTGAGTACCTTTTACGTGCTTTTTCTATCTTTGCATGGTCTGAATCACATTCCATGCGTGTATGACCAGGAACCAAAAATTTGTGGTCAATCACATCGATTGACTCCTGGTTTTCTAAAAACCAAAGACACATGGCTATTAAGATGCTATTTTTATTTTGGCCAGAACAGCAATCGCTATACATAATTACATTGTTAATTTCTGGCGAGTGTTCTTTTTAAAAATCGAAAACACATGATCCTATATGGTTTGCACCCCTTTTGGCAATTGGTTCACTCCAAATGTAGCAGGATTCAGTAGAAGTTTTCATATTGTGAACTGTGAGATTATAAGTCCAAAATTGGCGATTATAAAATACTACTGAAGATTCTAAATACGGTTTTGGTAGACATTGTTAGAGATCGAATGCCAACAGGTTTTTTCAGTTGGTGTAGATCACCATCAAGATATAATGGTTGCCCAACGAGCATGGAATACATGTCTTTAATATTATCTCATGATAAGAACAATTCTGCAGCGCTCTATAATTCAGATAGCAAATTTCTATTGCTAACATATTGATAAAATATTTGTTTTAAATATAAATATATTGTGACACTATTTTTTTTAGATGTAATATTAATGATTTTTTTATTGTGTAAATATTGTAGCAAAGACCCGTGGCAGACAAATAAAAGGTTGAAGCAATATTTAAAACAATATTTTAATCATATTACTCGGAAACATTGTGACCCTATTGGTCAACAAGATTGTAACAATTATCTGTCAATATTTGTAATATTGCTGAGATATGTTCATTTTGTGGTTTAAATATCGTAATTATTATACTTATTATAATAACAAAAAAAAATTTTAAAACATTTGCCTTAATGCACAATATTTTATTCAAATTCATATTTGATATTATATTCTTAGTTGGAACTTACAACATATTATATAATATTATAGGTAAAAATAAAACAGTTAATAGTTAGTACATTAAAAAAAGCTGCATAATATTGATAAACTAATATTATGATAAACATGGTAATATAACTGCATTTTAAAATAATTTGGCTTAATTCACAATATCTTATTCAAATAAATATATATATATTCTTAGTTGGAACTTACAACGTCATATATAATGTAGGTAAAACAAATTACAATTTAACATTTAAATTATAGTTATATAGTAGTTAATACAAAAAAAAAATACTGTTCATAATTATATTGGTAAATTGAGACAATTATTAATAATAATTAATTATTATTATAATTATTATTATTTTAATAATCAAAGTAATAAAAATACATTTTAAGCTGCAGATAATTTTGTTTTATTTTTTTGATTCAATCGGTTGGTAGCTTGTGCCATCCATTTAGACACCGATGTAGATATTTCTTCATCTGAAGTCATTTCAAATTTTTTATTTATTCTTATAGAATCTGTAAATTATTAAATGTAATGAATAATAATAATTATTAACTATCTTAAATATTAACTATCTTAAGGTCAGTGCAATAATAAGTATAACTATTGTATAATAAACTATAATAAAATTCCATCCGATTCAGTGTATTTATATTATGAATTAGCTTATAAATTTATATTTATTTTTAGATATATTTTAAAATGGTCGCTAATGATTTTCCAAAACCGATGGTGGCTTATCTACTTTTAAAATTACAACATGTTTTAAGAATTCGAAGAGCAATGAATGTATTGATTTAACAATATTTTTGTTTTAATTATGTGGGCCTAACAGCACTTTTTCTAGTAGAAATAATACTTAGGTTTTCAAACTTCAAGAAAAGTTTCTGGTAGCAAATTAGATGTAGTTTATACTTTGGGAAAGATGAGAGATATTTAAATAATAGGGTTATGTTTTTAAAACTGCTAATGCTCAGAATCATTTTTTCATATTTTATTCAAATTTAAACTTGACACATCTATCAATAATAATGATAGACTCAAATATTATGGTTGGGTAACCACTTAACACCTATACTGAACGCAGAAGCCGAGTGGTTATATTATACCTACTGCAGGCCTGGTTTTATATACCTACATAATTACCATATTAATAATATTTAAAATCCTTACCAAACAACAAACGGCAACAGTTTAATCCTTGGAATTTATTCTTTCCTTTAAATCCAACATAGGAATAATCTTTAATGAAAGTATCAACAAACATACGTTGCATAATTCTTCTTACAGAATCATTTATTTTTGAGCCAGCTAATCTTGAAAAAATGATTGCCTATAAGTAATAAGTATAATTATTGAAAATAATTGAAATTTAAACTGAATGTTAAGTACAATTAATTATTATTATTATTGTTACTTGATATTTCCTGATTTTGATATCGACTAATAATTTTTCGATTTTCTCCATATCTTCAGTATTTTCTACCGGCCACAGTATTTCACATCCATCAGAAACATCATTTTCCAAAGTTTCTTTGGGGATAGAAGAATCTAAAACTTGAGCAGTCATATTTTTAATTGTTTCAACCGAGTAAGATAAACTTTTTATTTCATATTTTAAATTTGTTAATGTGGTTTTAACAAAATTTTCAAAGTCTAAAACAAAACAAAACAAATACATATATATTATATAATATAATACACGGTTTAATCTATGAAAACAATTATAGGAACACAGCTATATTATAATACCAGTATTTGACGGTGTCATTACAGCTGCAGAAGGAGTAGAAACAGATTTTGATGTTGAGGGCTTCTGTGTTACGAATTCCATTGTAGCTGATTTACTTGTTGATGGCGTACAATATCCTATTTGCTCATTATTAATGTCACTTAAGATGTTAAAATCTAGAATACATTAAATTATTTAATTTTTATTGTGCAGTTTTATATACTGAGAAAACTAAACATAACATATAATATAACTATATAATATACCTGGTATACCATGGATTATTTCTGTTTCTGCATCTGTTTGTCTGATTGAACCTAAAAGCTGTGTTTCAGAGTCTTTTTTGTTTAAAACGGTAGAAATAATTGATTCATTATCATCTGATGATTCATTATTGCCTATAAAAATTAAAATGTTGCAATTATTTCATCATCCAAAATTAGATTTTAATTCAAATTATTAAAATACAGTTGATTTAATTTTAATATAATATAAACAATATAGTAATAGTATAATAGTACACTCACTCTCTTTAGTAACATTTGGATTATACGATTTGTCAATATCACTGTCATCATTGCAGGCATCTTCCCCATTATCACTATCTATATAATAGTTTAATATAGGTATTAAATAGATGCAGTTACAATACAAGTATAATAAGAAAACACAAAATAAAAACATTGTTATAAAATTGTTTTTTAAATTAAATTGATATCTACCTGAAATATTTGTGAAAATAGGGGGTTTATTTGACCTAGGCAATTTTTTTGTTTGTTTTGAATTGTTCCTTGATCTTTTCAAAGTGTGTTCTTTTTTCTTTTTTTTATGAGATTCTGAAGATGAGAAATCTGACGTTATTTGACCCAATTTTGCTTTTTGTTTTGCTTCTGTTAAGGACTCTGAAAAGGTCATATTTAAAAAAAAAATTATAGCATAATTTAATTTTTTTTATTTATCATCATTGTTGTTTTTACTATATTTAGCCAATTAAAAAAAAAAAATTAAAATTATACATACCAATGGATTTGTCAGCTGCCAATCTTCTAGCTTCAAAAAAATCAAAATCGAAAGAATTTGATGGTGTACGCAACTCGACCATTTTATTTTTGTTTCTAACATGTGATTTAGACCAAGCGCACATGCCATTAGAATACCATTGAGTTGGTACAGCAGCCACAGTATTTGATTCAACAAATATAACAATCGACCACATTGTCTATTAAAAAAAAAATTATAAAAATAATAAATAAAGTAAATGTATACTGGCAAACCATTTATTATACCAATAGTTAAATTATCTTAATTTGATGCAAAATACTTGCCTTCATATTAAATAACTATTTATAATTAATTGCAGTAAAATGTTGCTAGTATAGTTATGTGTAAGATGGTATATCTAAAGTCTAAGTAGACCTTACATTTTAAGGCTTAAAAAATTAAAATTAAAATTTTAATTACATTAAATATATTTATATAATATAATACCTAAAGACATTTTAGGATATTTATAATTTAATGATTTTTATTTTACATTTGAATGTAAAATAGACATAGCAATATTTTTATTTGCATGAACTAGAATTAACATTTTTGATTTAATATCGGTTAGTTCCCAATGCTGTAGAACATTTGATAAATCTTGAACAATCCAAATATCTAATTTAGAAGAATTAATTGGGTTATTGTAAAAATCAACTTTGTTTAAAAACTTATACCCAATAATTATTATTTTATTCTTAGGTTCTGCTAATTGAGCTATATTAACAACTTTCACAATTTCTTTTTTATTAGTAAGTATAAATCTATCTGCCAATCGTTTAATATGTATAGTGAAATTACTCCATTTATAAAATAAAAACTGACTAGAATACTTAAAATTATTTAATATAGGTCCTTGTTGGTGTGTATTTCTTTTAAGCTTATTTGTTTTTGGGAAAATCTCGGTATCTATAGAACAATTATTTTCGTTATACCTACGAACAATTTGTTGTAGTGGTTGATGATGTTTTCGTAAAGCAGACTTTAATATTTTCATGTGATTTTCAAAAGGAAAACAACTAGATGAGTCAAGAGGACCAAATTGCTTGTAATCATTTACTTTTTGTAACAAACCATGTATGTTGTATGAAACAAAATGGTCTCCGTATATATTTTGGAAACTTTTCACAAAATAATGTAACAATTTATCAGCATATTCTATTTTATTACTTTGATTTTTACTCAAAAGAATTATCATAGCAATATCCAATGACATAAAATTGTCATAACATTCTTCTGATAGTACATTTTTTAAAACCACAGGGCCAGTATATAATAGGAACTGTCTTAACTCAGTGGCTTTCCACCGAGAAACATCTTGAACTATTCTAGGCTTTCTAGAAAATTCACTAGGGATATATATTTTCAGACTTACTAATGATCTACTTATATCATTAATTTTTTTACCATTTAGGCGTACTCTGAGAGGACCTGTATGCATCCAAAGATGTAGGAGTTTACGCATAACTCCTAATAAAACTAAATGCATGTAATCTAATGGGAAGCATTTAACAATATCAAAATTAGGAAGCTCAATTAAATTTGAAGTAATACCTTCTCTAATGTGATGTTGTTTTTGAACCATAGCTACATAACCGTCATGGGTTCTCGACCGACACTCTCTTTCTACATATGGAAAACAAGTTCTATTATTTAAATATTCACCACTTTGAAAACACCGGGTACATGAAGAAAACCCTGAGTGTCCTTTAATTTTTAAAACAAACGAACGAGCAGGGGAATCACAGCAAAATGCTCTAATTGATACTTTGTATAGTATATTTTCCAACTGTAACCCATTTAATATTAAATCTTTTGCTTCATGTATAAACTTTTCAAGATAATTATTACTGTCATGGGGCTTTTCATTACCATGATAAATTCCTACAGGGAATACATGATTAGAGTGTGGATATATGTATGCCAAAATAGGCCAAAACTGGCTAGAACTACTTTTGGATAAAGGTAAACCGTCTACTCCAACCATGACTTTTATCTCACTATCCAACTTAAACTTCAATGAAGAATTCTTGATACCTTCTTTTAAACCCAAATGATAGTATATTCCAGGAGTTAAAATATCTATATTTGTGGTTTTTGATGACCCAGACTGTAGTAATGTTCTAGAGTCTAAGGGTAATTTTTGTAATGGAAGATAATTTTCTTCTTTAAGAATTGATAATAGTTTGTTGATAGTCACATGCGGAACATTACATTCTATAGCCCATTTTTTTAGTTTTAAATCTATTGGTATATTAGAATAAGTAATATTATTTGGTGTGTTTATAATATTATTGAGGGGAAATAAATCATTATTAAAACTATTATTATTATTATTATTATTAGATTGATTGTAGTCATGTTTATTAGAATCTATTGAATTATAAGCTGCATTTGTTAAAATTGAGTTTTGTATTGTTGAGTCAATAATTGTATTTAATGGATGTTGTTCTAATAAACATTCAGTTTTTTTATTGTTAAGTAAATAGTTGTCAGTTATATTAATATTTAAATCTGAAGATTGTTGGGGCAGTTGACTACTGTTAGTTGTACATAATAATGGTTGATAGGCATTTATAGCGGAAATTTTATCTGCAATTTTTCTCCGTTTGGATCTATAACTTTTTATCATTCTAGAGTGCATAAAGTATGATGTGCACAAAAAATCTACATGGGAAATAAAAACATACAATTTAATTAGAATATGCTATCAGGTTGTTTGACGTTACCCTTGAGAACAAGCAAACACGATGGTAATATATAAAGCGATAGGATTCTCTGTCACGGTCACATGTATGAATAATTTACATAAGTACCTTATAATAAATGTGGGCACCTATCACGAGGTAGTATTAAGGCATAATATATAGGTAGGTATAAGTTTAAAAAAAAAATTATTATTATAGGTTAACAATTTCTTACCTGATTGATCTCTTTTAACTCTTGACCTCTTGTTTGTATGGTTGAACGATTATATTATTGGTGCGTGTTATTGTACTGTAGTGAATGTGGGCACGAGTGCCGTGTGGCGTGTTCCTCGTGGAGAAAAGGCGGTTGGTGACTTGCGAGTGGCGACTATATTGGCGTGGCGCGTCGGAGTACAGAAAACAGAACGTAATGAACGTATATAATATAGACTATACTACAATTTGTGATGTGTTCCTCTTGAAGAAAAGGCGGTTGGTGATGACAGGCGAGTGGCGAGTTGGAGTGCAGCGCGTCGGAGTACGAAACGTCGAAACGTATTGAATATAGTGAGCGACGCGCGTATACTGCACCTATTAGAATTCACTGAAATATAATATTATAATCGTCAACAGAATTTCTGTTATAGGTATAAGTTTAAAAAAAATTATTATTATAAGTTAACAATTTCTTACCTGATTGATCTCTTTCAACTCTTGACCTCTTGTTTGTATGGTTGAACGATTATATTATTGGTGCGTGTTATTGTACTGTAGTGAATGTGGGCACGAGTGCCGTGTGGCGTGTTCCTCGTGGAGAAAAGGCGGTTGGTGACTTGCGAGTGGCGACTATATTGGCGTGGCGCGTCGGAGTACAGAAAACAGAACGTAATGAACGTATATAATATAGACTATACTACAATTTGTGATGTGTTCCTCTTGAAGAAAAGGCGGTTGGTGATGACAGGCGAGTGGCGAGTTGGAGTGCAGCGCGTCGGAGTACGAAACGTATTGAAAATAGTGAGGTTAGGTTAGGACGAGTGAGCGACGCGCGTATACTGCACCTATTAGAATTCACTGAAATATAATATTATAATCGTCAACAGAATTTCTGTTATAGGTAGGTATAAGTTTAAAAAAAAATTATTATTATAATATTATAAATTAACAATTTATTACCTGATTGATCTCTTCAAACTCTTGTTCGTATTGTTGAACCTTGAACGATTATAGTATTGGAGTGTTATTGTACTACAGAGTACAGTTTATGTGTGCACGGGAGCCATGTGGCATGTACCTCGTGGAGAAATCTGAAATGGCGGTTGGTGAGGCGAATACTTTGTAGCGACTTGGCGTGCGTCGGAGTACGAAACGTATAAATTGACTATAGTGAGGTTAGGTTAGGACGAGTGAGCGACGCGCGTATACTGCAGATATTAGGATTTACTGATAAACAATCTTCATCGATACGTATTTGTATTCAGAAATAAAATTAATAATAATATATATAATTTATATTTAGCATTGATAATAATAATAATAATTTGGGGGCAGTTGTCCCAAAAATGATAAGGAGGATTATACCACGAAGTATACCAGTAACACCATAGAACACCAATGTGAAAATTATTTTAATATCTATTATCTTTGTTGTTGGACATAGCTGAACATTTTTCGTGTGCACGGCAAACGTGTATAGTGGAAACCCGCCTTAAACCTTGTGATGTCCTATCCATTATTATAAATTATAATATCTATTATGATCATAGAACCATCTATGATAAGATATTTGACTCTTGAACACTTCTTATCACTGTATTTAATACAACGTATAATAATAATATACTAAAGATCTGCAAGGGCCAAGAGCCGGGCTTACCCAGACCGGCCTGGACGGCCCGGATTTTATAAAATTTAAGACATGCTGGGCCAGACCTCTATTAGGACAAAAGTTACTGGCAGGTCCGATCTGAACTTTCCTTAAATCAAAAGCGGGACGGGCTGGGCTTCTGTGAACTGTAAATTATATCAGCCCGTGCAGACCTCTATGGCTCTATAGTATGATATACATAATATGTGTATTAGAGGTTATTATACTTGAATGGCTTGAAAATATTTGCTGCGTGTATTTGTCATACCATAAGTAGGTACATAATTATGATAATTGGTGGTATGGTACATTAGTACACAATATACCTAGCTTTATAGTGAAAATGGATAATATCATAGGAATATTTATATATTTTTTTTTATATCATAAACAATTTTATATTTATTTTGTAGTAAGTAAAATAAGTATCATTGACATTATTTTACTCTAGAACCAAAATTGAGCGAGTTCTAATCAGATCGAGTAATGAGTAACGCGTTTTGTCTACATCGTACGTGTGTAAGACGGAGACAACACGTCATACCGGTGTGGCGTCCTCTTAAGTAAACAATAAATAAAGTGAAACAATTTATATTTTGTTGAAAACATTGTATCAGATTATGATGTAACTGTCATTGGCCATAATTTAAAAACATAATTACTATACCTACTATAGTTTATTTAATTATTATGCTTTCATTTAATAAACAAATAAAAATTAAAAAATTTCTTAATGAATTGAAATCAAAAAATATAATTTCTTCTAAATAGTTTTTAACAATATCAATAGTATCATAATAATATATCACAATGATATATTATTTATATTATTCAATTGCCTTTGCATGTGATGGCGTTATATATATATATTATATTTAACTAGTAATAAAACAATTTAATAAATTATAAATACACTGCAGATAATGGGTCATTATATTATAATTGTGGTTAAAAAAAAATTGTTTAGAACAAAAAATAAATGAAATTATTTACAAACATTTACGATTTACCTATTATATAATATAGGCCAGTGGTATGCGTTTGGATCCATTAAATAATTTTATAATAAATAATATTATATAAATTTTATTATTTTAATGATACTAAAATCATAATATCTTAGTCCGTGATAATAATACAATTATATGATTATTTTGGCATCTATGATTATGTTGAAATACGGACTGTTCACGTGATGTTTGATCGATATTATATTACTATATATATATAAATATATTTAAATATATCGATCCATATTATATTGTGATAAATATCTATAAAACGTTTTAAAATTATTTTTTTGAGATTTGGTATTTTTGAGAGGCCCTTTGAATAATATGCCTCCTGGGGCCCTTTAGATCCCAGGCCGACACTGAGTCTAGTTAATAAACACATAATCACAATCTCTACCAGAACCACAGATATATGAACATATCTGTGACCAGAACATAATAATATATGTTATCAATAATATAAATACATATATTGCCCCAATATTTTTACTTAGTGTCCCTTAAATATTTTACTATTCATTAAATAAACACATTTTTACAATAATTACAAGAACATATGTTATCAATAATATAAATAAATATATTTTCCCAATATTTTTACTTAGTGTTCCTCAAAATATTTTACTATCCATTAAATAAACTCATTGTTACAATATTTACAAGAACATATGTTATCAATAATTTTAGATAAACGTTGTCAACGTATGTTATATTGATGTTTCCTACAATATTTTCTTCAGTATCTGAAAAACATATTATTACAATATGTTTCAAATATTATTTTTAAATATATTTTTGTTCATATAATAAAAACATATTGTCAAAAGGTGTTTAAACAAAATATTTCCTAGAACATAAAGAAAACATATGTTTACAATATAAATATTTTCTAATTGCTATCTGGGAACAGCAGTGGAATATTTATGTACTATTGTACTATATTAATATAATAATAATAATAATAATATTGCATCGTTTTCGCAATTTACAATAATTTACAAAATGGGTATGGTCGTGAATCTGAAATTTTTATTTTTATTTAATGTTGTATATATACTTATCTATGGTTTTAGTGTTTTACAGGACTCCTTGTCCAGATACCCATGTGTGTAATATGTCTTCATTTTTAAAATGGTATTGACATATCCTAGATTTGTCTCTTAATGTAAAGCCTAAAGCTTTCTCCCATTTAAACTTCAAGGAAATTTCCTTAGGTACTCCAAACGTACTGCGGTTTAAACCTTTATAAGAGCAGAAAGATAAACAACACTTCATTATTTTCTTTGTAATACACAATACCTATTATTATGTAAAAATACTTAAAAAATGTGCATGAAATAATTATTTTTAAAATTATAAAAATAATAATCACAATTAAAAATTAAAATATACATTTATATTATCCCCCCCTTTGGCCCTTTCACTCAAAGGTTCACAAATCACAACTAATTATATCTTTAATCGTGATATTAATCAATGGTTATGGTAGTTGTGTGCTTACTGCTTATAAAGTTTAAATTAGGCGGGAATATATTTTTACATAATATTTTAATAAAACATTATTATCACGGATAGAGAGCGCATTAAGTTAATTCAGCAGCTGATTCTGAAAGTAATTTCAATTGCCATGTGATATCGCTTGAGATATAGCCTGTCGGGCAACCATTATATCTTTAATCGTGGTGTAGATGAATCTTTTCTTTTTACACAATATGCTTCTTTCGCTTCTTCTTGGTGTTTTTTTTGTTCAGAGATGAGCTCATTTTTCTTATTAAATGTACAGGAACTGTATGAAATTTGAATATGTAGTCTGTCACATTGTGTGCATGTGTTTTTTTTGGCCTTTGTACCTTTTATCCAGATGTAACGAATGACTGTAGATATATGAAAATTTCACTGAATTTTCAGATTAGCATTTCCTATACACCATACAATTTTGAAAATATTTTGACCATTTTTGAGCTGTTTACGGACATTTTCAGTTTTCAATTATTTTAGTTTTTATTTCTAGAAATATCAATAAAGTTTTATCTGTTGGGCCAAAAAGTGTAAAAATTTAATACAA